TCCTTATTCTCTTGTCGAGGGCTTCGTATTCATCCGCGTGTTTATCTGCTTATCGTCGCTCCTCCAGGTGGGCCATCGTATTGGCACACAACCTATATATATCATGTGCATATCTTATGTTATTAAGTCTAGTACCCTTTATAGTGATTCCTTCCTCAATGTTTTCGAGTGCTTCTCGAAAGATGTATGCTGAGTACACGTTAAATAAGATGGGTGACAAAACACATACTTGCCTCACTCCTCGCAGTATATTTATTTGTTCTGTGTGACTGCCATCCATTCTCACAACTGCGGTCTGGTTCCAATATAAGTTTATAATTATGTTTAAATCTTTTTGACTCATTGCTATTTGCTTCAGTATGTCGACCATTTTATAGTGTTGGACTCGGTCAAATGCTTTCTGATAATCGATTAAGCAACCATATGTCAAATAAAGCTTCTCTTGTGCCGACGGCGTTTACAAACCCAAAGTGACTTGATGAAATCTGTTCCTCACAAAGTCGATATTTTTTTATGTGTTAAACCTTTAAGAGGTGACTCATCAAACTTATTGTTCTAAAATGACCGCAGGTTTTGGCACTTGGTTTTTTGGGCAGTGTTATAAGTTCTGACCTCAACCAATCCGCTGGAATTTCTCTTGTTGAGTAGATGTATGTTGAATATTCTAGTCAGCCATTTGATTTTGTCTTCGTTCAGTAACTTTATGAATTCAGTCTGCGTTTGGTCCAGACCAGCTGCTTTCCGTGGCTTCAGTTCCGAAATGGCGGCTCTCACCTAGTCTATCAGAATTTCCGGTCCCTCTCCTACAATTGGTTCTTGTTCTTCGCGTACGTCATGGAATAGATTCTCTAGATATGTTTTCCAGGTCTCCCTCCTTTTCTCAGCTTCAATGATGATTTCTCATGCTTCGTTGACCAAGGGTTTACAGTTGTTTCTGTGGCCTTTCCCTGTTACTTCTCGGACTTTTCTGTGAACATTGAAGTTATCGTGCATGTTTTGATGGTATTCGATCTCGCGATATTTTAGTATAGTCTAGTATTTTCTTCTCTTTCGCTTTCTTCATTTTCTATTTTATAATGCATTGTATTCGTTTATATTCCGTTGGATTTCCTTTATTTTGTCCTTCGTCCATCAAAATATTTCTGTCGTCATCCAGAATTTTTTCTTCATTTTGTCCGGTTTTAATAATTATTTCTGTACTGTTTCCACTGCTTGTTTAATTTGTTGAGTTGCATATCGACGCTGTTGTTTTCATTTGGTTGAATGTTGTCGTTGAGCATTGTCGCAGCTGCTTCCTCTATTGCTGGGATTTTGAGTCTATATATACAGGGTTGCTCATTAGTGCGTCAAAGTGCGATATCTCAGTAAATATGAAGTTTACAAGAAAATTCGTCCAACGAAAGTTTTTCAC